TATGTAGTACCCATACTCATGCGCTCCTCGTTAATCTCGAGGGCCGCATTCGACACTCAAGTGTCGGCTGACACGCACCTTGCGGGTTAATCTCTCGACGCTGAACAACCACTACGTACAGTTGAAAACCACACCCTCTTCTGCACCCTGCGGAGATTGGGTGATACATAGGTTCATACTTGTGGTGACAATCGTCTCTTATTGCCCTGGAGACCAGCTCCACCATCTAGGGCCTGAAAATAAGTCAAGGGGTTTGGCTTTGACGGTTGTCACGAACTACTACAACGTCCAACTATATAATTCTAAAAAGCAAAAATAGGTCGAAGGGCCTTCACATCCCAAAACCACAACCTTTGATTAAATCCTTGGTACGTGGGTCCTTCAGGCCACGCGAATACCTCACACAGGTTCACACACATACGTACATACTAATGTACAAGGGAATAAATATGTGACGATCACGTCTCACAATCACAATGAGACTTCTCACAACCATGCATATATGTGAGACTGCAGAAAGTCCAATCCAAAAATCTGAGTCATAGATCATACCTGCAATCACATCTAAGAATCAAGCAAAAGTCCACGCGCTACACGAAGTCAACTCCAACCAATCTCTATACTCATACCCCTCGCTTTAGCCATGCAAGCTCCAACCTCCAACCAATCAACCATAATTAAATACTACGTACTTCTGTTAAATGACCATTCAATAAAAGTTCGGGTGAAATCTTAACAAAACAATAAAATCACCAGGGTTAAAGCCTTTTAGGTTGAGTATTGACGGTGCATTGAAAGTAAGTTGTAAACCGACAAATCGACAACCGACCTCTTATCAGTGATAACATAGAACGATCCTCAAGGGATCAAGTTGAATCTAATCAAAGTCCTGAATAAAATCGATCAAGCTGGCATGTGACACAAGACAGGTCAACTCCCACGGCTAACCCCATGAGTCCTATGGGGAATAATCTCTATATCATGGTGTTACCAAAATCATCCTATTTAACTAAGCATAAATCTACCTCTAAGCAAGTGCCAGAGAAAAAGGTAGACTTTTGGCAGAATCTCCTCTATACAGAGTGGATTGTCAAAATTGTCACCTGTCAAAATATAATCTAACTCCTCTAAATTAAGAAAATTTCGGCAGCGCGTCCCGTAGGAAAAGTGTCTTTTCATAATTTTATACAAGTACAAATATGAAAACAAAAATAGTTTTCGACTTCCCAAAGTCAAATTTTGTCCAACTCCCTGAATTAGCAGAAATTTGGGCAGCACTCCTTTTAGGAAAGGAAACTTCCCAGATTTGAAAGTCAGACAGGTTTGAACTTTGAAAAACCAAAATTTGACTAACTCCTTGGATTTGCAGAAATTTCGGCAGCGCTTCCCGAAGGAAAAGTGGCTTACCAAGATTTATACAAGCCCAAGTACAATAAAATGATCTCAAAAAATGCAAAAAAATTGATCTAATTAAAAAATCTATCACAGAAAATACAGAAATTGAATCTAACTTTTGTCGCTTTAGCACGTGGCGATCCACTAAAACGATTACCTATCAAGCTGACACTCAAACTAGGCAGTTATCCCACTCAGCCACATGCAATTCAAACCATAAAGGTAAGTACTCTCACCAGCCCAAATTACCTTTGGCAGACAATAGTCCATAGTCTTTCAGTGATTTAACCCTTTATACCCCGCTTACATAGGGCATTAAGTTTGACTATTCGTCTTAGAAACAATGCCAACTTTTTGTCTTACTTATACACGAACAAGTTGCACAACTACTTCTCTCTTCTTTGGACATATAACTAAGTCATTTGTCTTAGAAACAATGCTTAGTCGCCCTAACTGTTTAAATAGTCAAGTTATATATACTTCTCTGAACCTTGGTCTTCAAAAAATAAGCGTAGGGTTGAGTCATTCGTCTTAGAAACAATGTTCAGTCTGCCCATGTTACCTTTAATTATAACTCTTAGTTATACTCTCTTCATTTGTAATAAGGCTATAATCAGACCATTCGTCTTAGAAACAATGTCCGACTAGCTTTGTTCTCATATATTTATATATAGCATGATAAAAAATCATATTCCTTTATTGTCATTATAGTCTTGTGGCCTCATACTTAGACCATTCATCTTAGAAAAAATGTCTAGTCCTTTGGCCTGAATCTCCCCCCAGAACAAAACAATCAGAAAAAGAGTTGAGTCATTCGTCTTAGAAACAATGCTCAACCCCCTTTCCCTCAGTATAAAAAAAAGGCAGAGTACCCTGGGTCAAGACGCAGAGACTGTTCAGAAACCACCCAAAATAAACAGCAGTAAGACCATTCATCTTAGAAACAATGTATGATCCTCATAATTCAAACAATCAATAACCCTCAAAATAAATAGTCAGGTCATTCATCTTAGAAACAATGTCTGACAGAATTCAATAAACACAGCGACCAAGCCATTCGTCTTAAACACAATGTTTGGTCCTTAAGAAAACAGAACAAAACACAGCAGTCAGACCATTCGTCTTAGGAACAATGCCTGACCCTATAAAATCAAATGAAACACAAACAAAATTGCCTTCCTCCCATCCTTTCCCCTGATGCAACCCTCTGTTACGATCTGCTTTCAGATAAACAAAGAAACTGAAAATGTCATTATACATACGTTCTTTGACTTACTCTGATTTTGTATCCTGAAGGTCAAACTAAAGTTAAAGCAGGGGTGCACTCAATATACTTAGTCAAATATATAGGAGGATGTATAGATAGGGGTTATATTGGGTTTATAGAGGGAAAACAAAGGTTACCTCTTGGTTCCCTGCCTACAGAACTCCTCCTGAGTTCCGGAAAAGCTCCCGCAATCGGTGTGACGATTCCCCACAGAGTCTTGGTGCGGACCTACGGGTTGCAATCCCGCCTGCCATGCTCCTCTTAGAACCAATTAGACTAGACTTAGACTAGGAAGGGCAGAAAAAGATTGATTTAAGACTCTCGGATCCAAGAGGGGTGCTCTCAGACTCGAGTGAGAGGGCCTTGATACCTCGAATCGCCTGAGGGCCCCGCAATGGTAGCCAGGATGCAGTAACAGCCTGATCAAGTGAAGTCAATTGCTGACACAGCCCTTCCTGACGACCTTCCAAGATGCGGTACTAACCCCCTTTTGCAACCACACTTCCTGGCTACGGCAACAACCTCCCTTTCAGCCTTATCATCCCTGCTTTCCCCGGTAAAACTGCAGCCCCACAGCCTCGACCAGCAACCCTCATTACGTCACACGCCTCGTATGCACTTCCGATGTATCGTAGTACCGCAAAGGCACGTCCCGAGACCCAGCAAAGATGTAGCTCAACACAACGAATACAACAGTTACACAGTCATTTAATCCCTTCCCCTATACTACAGTTCCGCTCCCCACATGAAGCCGCATTCCTACTACTCCAAAGGGCCGCCGTACTTTGAATAGCGCAGTAGCCCGCAGATAACTCAGGCAACACCATAGCTGACTCCACAAACAGGGATGAGCACCAGGGCACACAGTTATGGGGATGTAATACATTATAACACAGTGGCAGGGGGAATTAGCAACATCTCTTAGCAGTTTTCTTTGTGCATAATCAGTGAAACAGACCCAGCTACAGCAGATACAACCGATACACAGCAGTTTGTACGGTCGTCAACCAGCCCAATAACCCGCAATAAGCACCGTACTGCCATAGCAGAGGACACACAGGTCAAGGTAGTCAGCGGCTTTGTGAGTATTGGCCACCTGGCGGACTGACGAAGATGCAGCCTGCTCAGCACCAGAAGTGGGCATTTTTTTGTTTTTCTCACCCACGACCCTAGCCGCCCAATTTTTTTTTCGCACCACCCACCCGACTCAAGAACTTTTAATTTCCACCTCCAAACGATCCCACCCACCCAAAATATTTTCTGAAATTTCAGCCCCGCGCCCGACCCACCCACCACCCGAAAAAAGTCAACGCCCGGACCCACCCGCATCCGTGAGAGCATCATTACCCACCCATATCCGATACCTCAATTTTTGCCACCCGCACCCATCCGCATCCGCCCGCACCCACCTATGCCAGTACCTTGCACGATTAAAATTTCATAGGCAACAAGACTTTGCAGCAAAGACATTCAAAATGATATAATTACGAACACATCAATGATATCAACAATGCCACTTAAGAGAAAATAGTTGAAGTTCTTACTATTAACATCATAACAAAATGAGCAACACAGTGTTGATAAATTTCAAAACGTCATAGACGAAATACGTTAGAAATGGATCCCGATAATCAAAATGTACTAAATGAAATTTCATCTAAATCCATGCGTTGATCAAGTCATTGTCTGATCTAACGAACAAAATGTCGTCGACCATGGAACCACCAAGATTGTTCCGTTTCGCCGTCAATGTGTTCTCCGCATCTGAGAAATTGCACTCACTCTTCGAGCTCGATGCGGGAATACACAAAACAGCGCGAGCTGCTCGTGCCATGATAGGCAAAGGAGGGAGCAACATTCGCTTATCCGTTGTGGTGACAACCATTCCTTTCACTTTCCACCAATGGAGGAGTTCAAAACTGCGTTTCTCATCCTTTGTCAACTTCAATGAGAAATAATGATCAAACTCTTTTTGAATCTTCTCGGTCAAGGTCAGCTTTATTGTTGCATCGCTTCCCGGCGTTCCTTCATCCTCTTCATCAGAGTTGCACAACCCCGACCTTCTCCTTTTTTTTTTTCGCGAGACGTTCTGTCGTAGTCTCCGCTGCCAACATAAATTTCAAAACGTCGTAGACGAAATACGTTAGAAATGGATCTCGATAATCAAAATATACTAAATGAAATTTCATCTAAATCCATGCGTTGATCAAGTCCTTGTCTGATCTAACGAACAAAATGTCGTCGACCATGGAACCACCAAGATTGTTCCGTTTCGCCGTCAATGTGTTCTCCACATCTGAGAAATTGCACTCGCTCTTCGAGCTCGATGCGGGGATACACAAAACAGCGCGAGCTGCTCGTGTCATGATAGGCAAAGGAGGGAGCAACACTCGCTTATCCGTTGTGCTGACAACCATTCCTTTGACTTTCCACCAATAGAGAAGTTCAAAACTGCGCTTCTCATCCTTTGTCAACTTCAATGAGAAATAATGATCAAACTCTTTTTGAATCTTCTCGGTCAAGGTCAGCTTCATTGTTGCATCGTTTCCCGGCGTTCCTTCATCCTCTTCATCAGAGCTGCACAACCCCGACCTTCTCCTTTTTTTTTTTGCGGGACGTTCTGTCGCAGCCTCCGCTGCCAACAACTCCACATCATCATCGACGCTCTCGGGTCTTCAATAAGGCATTGCCTCGTCTGACTTGCACGAACGGAAGCTCGAACATCTCCAACCGGTCCTTTTGACGGGGATCGAGCAAAGCGGCGACAACATGCAGATCTTCCAAAGGCAATTTCTCCGCCAACACATCCCTCACCAATTTCTTGATAATTGCGATGTTGCTCGAATCAGGTTGAATGACGACTTCCTTTTCTGAGTTATCTACATCCTTTGAAGTCTCCGTCCGAATCTCGCAATGTTGGAGCAACTCATTGCGCTCGAAGGCCACAATGTGGAGAGCAGGTAGGAGGTAACTTTTCAGTTTGAGTGTGGCTTCCTCGAAACGATCGAGAAAACGGATCAGCTCCTCTAACAGGTCTCGATTGATTTGTGCAATCAATATCGCCTTATTCCCACCCCGACCCATCAACAAAGTGAAGCATCGTCATAACTTATCTTGACATTTTTCAACATTCTCAACAATGAGTTCCATCTCGTTGTATTTTCTTGCTTCAATGTATTTTTCAGCGATCTCTGAAGGTTAGACTGCTTCACGTAGCGAACTAGTTCCTTGCAGTTCTCCACCAAGGCAAACACTTCCGGGGCTGATTCCTCGAATCGGTAAAACGGTGTTGACTTCACCATATTTGTTGTTGTGGTGGTCTTATTGAATACCGTGGTCAATACCGTTGCAATTTTATGCTCACCGCAAGGCACCCATGTGTACTTGCCACGGATCCCCTCACCCCCACACATGTTTGATCCACTGTCCAAACACACGACACACATGTTAGAATCCTCGCACTCGAAGTCGAAGACATTCTTCAAATGCTTTCAAAACACGAACAACGGTGTGCGACTCCTCATAAAACGGTTTGACTTGGAGTGTTCGTACGTGGAGTTTGAAAAGTTTGTCAATGTAGTGCGTCGTGATCGACATAAAAGATGTTCTCTTTATAGAATCTGTCCAGAGGTCCACAGTGAACCTGGCGTGCATCTTGTCAGCGAAGTGTTCTTTCATCCTTGCGATGACCGCAACCCGGAGCGAGTCTGCGGTCGACATGACTTGACACTTGACCGTGTATCGAGAGGGGACCAAATCTTCTATCTCCGTGCCCTTGCTAGAACTGACTCCTATATCTAGAATGACCTGCGAGTATCGATGAAACCCTTCGTTCTCTACTATTGAAAAAGACCTCAAATCCTCACAACACATTAAAGCAACAGACTTGGCAACCTGCCTCTTTTGGGCAGTGGTCGCCTCAGTCGTTGTTGCGAAAAGTCGCATTGCTCCGGCCTCTCCGACACCCAAACAACATTTATGGTTGTTCAAGGAACTTGTACCGTGACACGCTTCGTAAGTGTACACAACATGACACTTTTTACACGCCGCATAACCAGAGTCATGCTCATTCACAGGTGTCCCGTCCGTGTGACAGACATGCGGAAATTTGCACCAACAATGAGCAGAGCTGATCCTTTCTTCCTTCAACATGTACTGTGCTTCAGGCCCTCCTTTTTGGAGTGAACGGTGAATTGTTGACTTCAGTTTGGCCATGTCTGGCTTTGAGGACGTGGACAAATACCAGACAGTACTTTCAAAAGTTCTTTCAGCCATCTTTGATCGGGCTAATGGCGGCAGGTTTTCCCTGCGTCCACCACCATCAGCCAAATCAAAAGCACACACCGGGAGAGTTAATTACCCGGCCAACCCCTCTAATTCTCGTCCTCACGACTTCAATAGCCTACAATTGGAGCCCCCAGACCAGCCGCGAGAAAAAGAAAAATAAAAAAATTCAGTTTCAAACTTCGATTGAATAGTACAGTTAGCACTTTTAGACTACATTCAAAGATTCAAATCGAATTTGAACCAAGTCGTACATGTTCGAATACAAGCACATAGCACCGAGTTCGAGCGTGTTCAGATTCAATGCACAAAAGATAAAAGATATGAAAGGCGAGGAGAGATACCCCATCCGATTTGAACATGTGTCCAAAGGACATTTGCGCAAATCAGATGGGGAGTTTGAACTTGGACTGGCATAGCCCGGTGCTCGCATGAAATACAGACGAAAGTTTGAATCGAAGCCGTGAATTGCAGATCACGAATCACCTCTGCATTTGCCATCAGATGAGTACGATAGAGCACACAAAAAAAAAACAAGGAAACAACTTCAAATAAGGAGTCCGATTGAAAACACTAAAAGGAACAGAGTTATAGGTGCGGCCACCGTGACACCTTTCTTCCCCTGAACACAGCGCACCCTCATTATGAATGAGTGTAGCCGGGGAGACAACTTGCATACATTCATAACGAGGGTGCATTGTCTTCGAGGGAAGATGACATCTGATTGCATATGGCTGCTAATGCCACCGTGGCATCATCTTCCATTGCACACAAGGAGCCCGATTAGAAAAACAAAATAAAAAACGACCAGATATCCATCTGTTGGCACCCTGCCACGGTCTTCCCCTGAACATAATGCACACTCGTTACGAATGAATCTCAGCGGGAAGGGAGCTTGTATACATTCACAAGAGGGTGCATTATGTCGGGGGAAGACGACAGTGTAGCAGCACCTGATTGCACATGGCCGTAACTGCCACGATGGGACCATCTTCCCCCGAACACAACCCCGATTGACAAACAAAAAAGGAAAAACAAAGATCTCGTTTACAGCTGCTACCAGCGTGGCATCGTCGTCCCCCAAACACAACGCACATCTTATTGCGACCGTGGCACATCTGATTGCATCTGGCCACTGCTTCCACCATGGCACAGTCTCCCTCCGAACACGAGCCCCATCAAGAAAAAAAGAAAAGAGAAAATGTAAAGAAAAATAAGAAAATAAGATTTACAGCTGCTGGCACTGTGGCTCCGTCTTCCCCCGAACACAACGCACCACTACTGCCATTGTAGCACGATCTTCCCTGAACACAAGGGGCAAGGTCCCACTAGCAACGAGATAGGATAGAAACGAGTTTGTGGCGCAGTTGAGTGACCCAAATCCTGCAATGTAGTACTCGTGATCCCACGGTCAGTACTTTACATGCATAACCCGAAAAAGTAAGGAGATCTTTGTTCCCCTCCTCCTCTCCTTAACACTGGGCATGCTCGTGCAAAGAAAGCTTCCTGCTAGAATCTTTTCAATCGGTTGGGGTTGTGGCCAACCCCATACAGGGTTGGGGTTGGCCTTAGCCCACTGGATAGAAGATTTTCAACATTTTACTTGCTGTTGTACAATTTTCTCATTGGGTGGAGCCCTCCTTCAATCACGGAGTATATGGAGGGTGCCAGGATCACTTCTGACAGAAGTCGATTTTATTCCAAAAAAATGTGGCGGTTACTTTGTTCACTGTTTTTGCAACCACCGCCATCAGATAATTTGTGATCTGATGGCTGGGAAGCACTGTGCCCTGATTTCCGGTGGGAGGTCTCTGTTTCTTTGTTTTTTTTTAGCCTTTTTTCTGTTTTCTCAGCCCAGAAATTCGTAATGAACGTGTCTGGCCGATGCCACTCAGTGTCACAGTGGATCGTCCACACTCCTATCCGACTCCTAATGGGACCTCGCCCAAGGAGCCTGATCTACAAAAAAAAAAAARAAAAAAAAAAAAGACCGTGTTCCCTCTAAATTGGAACGATACAGAGAGGATTAGCATGACCCCTGCGCAAGGATGATACACATAAATCGAAAAATGGTCCAAACTAAAAAAAAAGAAAAAAAAAAAAAAAAGATGACCGCAACAGATATCCATGTGCTGCTACTGTGGCACCCTGTTCCCTCGAACATAACAAACCCTCATTACGACCGAATGGAACCGGGTATTTATCTAGTATGCATTCACTATGATGGTACGTTGCTTTCGGGGAAAGACAACATCTGATTGCATATGACCGCTGCTTTCGCCACGGCACAGTCTTCCCCCAAACGCAAGGAGCACCATTAAGAAAAGAAAAAAAAAAAAAAAAGTAGAGAAACGGAAAAATATCAGATTTACAGCTGCTTCCCCCGAACACAACACACCCTCATCAGCACCGTGTCAAACAATGACTGCAACCACGTCACCTTTTCCCCACCGAACACACAATGAGCCCGATCCCGAAACAGATATCCATCTGCTACCACGGTGGCACCGTGTTCCCCCGACACAGTGCGCCCTCGTTACCACCGAATCTGGCTGGATGGACAGCTTGTATACATTCACTATCAGGGTGCGTTGTTCAGGGGAAGATGGCATATGACTGCATTTGGCCGCTGCTGCCACCGTGGCACCATCTTCCCCCGACACAACGAGCCCGATTAAATTGGGGAAAAAAAAAAAAAAAAACAGAAGGAAAGATTTCCAGCTGCTACCCTCAGTCGAGTGTGAGCGCTTCCATAAAGAAGCTGAGAAACCTATTAAGCGATGACGATGACAACCTTTTTTTTTTTTACTTAACGTGAAAAAAAAAAAAAGATTTCCAGTTGCTGCCATGGTGGCACCGTCTCCCCCCCAACGCAACACACCCTCATCACTATTGTATCAAACCGGGAAAACAACTTGTATACATTCACGATGAGGGTGCGTTGTGCTCAGGGGAAGTCGCGTCCATGGTTCCGGATAAGCGGGAAAAGAACTCAGATTGAACAATCCCGCCATATCCACTGGAAAAGGGTGAAAAAAAAAGAAAACATTGCACCGTGCCTCGCCTTGCCAGGACCTGCCTGCAGGTGTTTCTAATCAACACGATCTGTATCATCAAGAGAGAGAGAGAGAGAGAGAGAGAGAGAGAGAGAGAGAGAGAGAGAGAGAAAGAGAGAGAGAGAGAGCAACCTGTTGTTTGAGGGAGGGCTGGGAATTGTCGAGTACCCGTCGCAATCGCCGTTGCAGTTGCTGTCGCCTCGTCGCCTCCCACCAATACCTCTCTCTCTCTCTCTCTCTCTCTCTCTCTCTCTCTCTCTCTCTCTCTCTCTCTCTCTCTCTCGTTGCAGTCATCGTAGCCTTATCGCCTCCC